AAAGTTGTGAGTGAGCCATTTGGCTATTGCATAAATTAGTTTGCTCTGGATCCATCCTTCCTGAGCTAAGACAAAAATATGTGAGCTGGAGGCTAAAAAACTGTGAGCTAGCTTACACTAACTCAGCTTAGAGGGAACACTGGTCACCATTGTAGAGAAAAGTGAAGTAAATAAATAAATGTAGCTGAAGATTGGTGGGGGAGGCAGATAAAAGGTAGGTTGGTGGATGGGAAGGAGAGAAGGAAGCAGAGAAAGGTGAGGATATCAGGCTGGCCTTGAGGAAGGAAAGATAAAATAGTGTGGGGAGGAGGATACAGGGGAAAGTAAGAACCCTGCAAGTCCTTGAGGGTTCCCCACTAGGCAACCGGGCACAGTGGCCAGCACCTCACCACGGGGCCATCGTTTTCTTGGGTAGAGACTGGTAGAAGGCGGGAAGGAGGGAAAGCTGAAGATGGGATGTGGAGGAAGCGGGAAATGGTAGGTTAGCTGGTAGGTGGGAAGGAGAGAAGGAAGCAGGAAAAAGAGAGAGCCAACAGGGGCTTTCAGGGAAGGGAAGGTCCCCCGTCATTAATTATATATATTTACATGTCATTTGGAATATAGGTCAGGTCCATGGGCATGCCATGCCATTGATGACACCAGTCCCCTAGCCAGGATTTTGTGGCTTGTGGGGAAAAAGTATTCTGGAGGGGCTGCCATTATTTGCTATAATTTTTATTTATTTATTTATTTTATGACATTTATACCCCGCCCTCCCCGCAAGTGGGCTCAGGGCAGCTTACATAAGGCACTGAGTGCGTTCAGTATACACATTACATAATATAATTTACAGAATTAAAACAACTTAAAACAGCTTAAAATCAGTTCGGCGGATGCACATAACTCCTAACATCTTGTGTAACAGGGGGGAAGGCTGGGGTGATGGAAGGATGTTACCCCACCCCCCGGTGGTCTCTCTTTACAAAGAGCGGTGGTGTAAGTGGCTGTGGCGGCTCCTACTCAGAAGCTTGGCGGAAGAGCTCCGTCTTGCAGGCCCCGCGGAACGGAACTGCACAAGGTCCCGCAGGGCCCTGATCTCCTCCGGGAGCTCGTTCCACCTGGTAGGAGCCGGCACTGAAAAAGACCTGGCCCTTGTTGCCCCAAGCTTGGCCTCCTTGGGGCCCGGGGTCACCAGCTGGTGTTGTGACCCCGACCGAAGTGCTCTTTGGGGAATGTATGGGGAAATGCGGTCCCTCAGGTAAGTCGGATCCAGGCCATGGGGGGGTGCACACCCCTGTCCCTTCCCTCCTGCAAGCTTTAAAGGGCCGATTGGCTGAAGGGCCCTTTAAATCTTGGAGGAGGGAGGGACAGGGGTGCATGCCACCCCCACTTCTTCTCAAAAGCATTTAAAATATCTCTTTAAATGCTTTTGGGAAGAAGCAGGGGGCCTTTAAGAAGGGGGAGGCTTTAAGGAAGGAGGCAGAGCCCCCAGTAGCCCCACTGTCACTATGGGCCTGACACTAACAACATAGTGGCACTTTAAAGCCTGATGGCAATCATTTCAAATACCACCACCCCTTGTGAATGCTGGAGGCAAACAACTCTTCCTATAATGGGTGAGATTTCTAAGCAATATTAAAACTTGCTCTGATTTTTGCAAGGGCTTCACCGTCAGTGAAATTGTTCTGTATTAAACCTAGGCTATGTAGAGAATTTTCAGAGTAGTTGAGATGGTATAAAACCATTCGAAGCCTTTAGCACACACATATATCCATCTGTCTTGCTGGAGGCTCTCCTCAGTGTTTTGCGGGTGAACACTGTTCTTCCAGCTACCTATGAGAAAACCCAGTTCCTCTTCCATAGGATATGACAAAGGCTTATGACACAAGTGTGTGCATCTTTTGCAGGCAGCTATTGGCTTGTAACCATACCATGATGGACACGAAATAAAGCACACTGCTCCTCCGTGATAGCAGTATTACAACTGTCTTAAAGGGTTTTAAAACTGCATTTAGTAGAGGGAAAGATGAATACATATACACACAAAGCATATGTGGCCTTTTTTGTTTGTTGGTTGGTTGGTTTAATGGAAAGAAAGCCACCAGGAAAGCCCTAGACTTTCAGGATTATTTTATCCTTTCTTGAAAGCCACTTTTTCAGTTTAGGCTGGGTGTTCACATGTTGCAGAACTAAAGCTAACCTTTAATCTGTTAAAAAGCTTTTCTTAAAAACAAAGAAACAAACAAATGGAAACCAAAAAGGGGAGGAGAAGAAACCCAGTTTTTCCAGCCCACTCCCTTAATAAAGCTATCCCACAAGAGCAAAAGTTTCCCCCCACTCCTTCCTTACAATGCACTGACTACTACCAAGCTTCTGCAGCAGGGCTGTGGCAACAGCCCTCATAATGGCAAGGGCGAAATCGCCGTCAAAGTGTTATGGCCGTACACAGCCTTAAACAATTACGGTGTGGAAAGGAGAAAGAAAGAGGGATGAGATTTAGTGCCTGTGTCTATCCCAACCCCCAAACCCCCCTTCCCCCAATGTTTCCAACTTGACACACTTCACCTCCCTCTGTGTTTTTATTAGCTGGTATTCTCAATACATCAGCGACAGCTATGATGAAACCAGTGGCAGATTTTGCTGCAAAGCAGCTGGGTCACTGTCCCATGGGCCTTGTTGCCTTTACCATGCAAGATCTTAAAGTGACCATGCCTGGACCAGCTGCCGTTTTGAAAGATCCTGAAAGGGACGTTCTGAAAGTGTTAAATATAGCGAGTGGAGGGCGGGAGGGGGGGAGGATGACTTGCATACAGCACACAGAGCTACTTTGAAAAATTCAGAGTACCACGAACACAGTCCCTGCTATGGGCAGCTGTACACGCAAGTGTCTTGCTTCTGGGTGTCAAATCAAATATATGTCGCCGGTTGGCACGGTACATCACTTCTCCTCTTGGGGATTTGAAAAGGAAAAGGGGAGAAAGCAAGGATTAAAGGCGACAAATGAAGAAAAACTTTAACAATATATGATGGGGTTTATCATTTACTGTCATCTCATTTATTACCCACAGTGTCAATGATGAGCCACAGACTCGAGCACCGAAAAAGACAGACAACTTACTTAACACGGAGTCCCATAACGCTTACCTGAAACCTTCGCATGTCTCGAGGGTTCCCGGCTGTTTTCAAACAATTCTGATTGCACTTGAGGAAGAATTTTAAGAAGAATCTGTAGGGGGGAAAGAAAGAAACGTGTGTGACATCTCCGGCTTTAAAAATTAGCGTCTGCTATTATTTACTTGCTTTGTGTCGGTACAATTGTGCCCCGTGGCGGAATCCATCAGGGGATGTCAACAGACTGTTTAAAAGGATGCTGTCAATTAAAACAGATTAAAATGACATTTCGGGCTGAATTTATTTGCCCTGCAAAGTAATACTTAATGTTATTAGAAGCCAGGGATCCCTGAAGCCTTTTAGCCCAAAGTCAAGGGAGAAAAAAAATACAACGGATTGATGCTCCCCAAGCATGGGCAAAATAGAGTCCAAAAAACTGTTTGCTTTATTGGGATTAATTAAATTTGAAACAATAAATAAATAAATAATAAAGGAGTAAGAGAGAGAGACTTCTTTCCTTTTAAGTAATCAAAAGTGCATGTGCATGTTCACAATGAACAAAACTCTATATATTATACCTTTCACAGTTGGAACCTGTCTGGAAAACCCAGTTCTTGTACCAAGAATCTTGGCTTGAACCTCACCAGGCACCACTATCATATTGGTGAAACCTCAGCAATGTTAGCTGAAGGTTTTGTTTACATACAACAGTCTGTCTTCCACTGATGTAAAAGCCAAAGGGGTTTCATTCTTTAGCTTAAAGGTATAGTGGAAACAGCGTTCCGTGCACATTGGTGTTTATTCATGCCGGCCACATGACCACAGAAATGTCTTCGGACAGCGCTGGCTCTTCGGCTTTGAAACGGAGATGAGCACCGCTACCCTAGAGTTGGATTCGACTGGTTTTCGAGCAAGGGAACCTTTACCTTTACAGGATACAAACATAATTTCCATATGGTATATTATCAGATATACCCTAGCACCTGCAGTGCATGAAATGGCAGATTGTGCAGCACATGATACCTCAATGTTCATGTGCAATCATTGATGGCAGATTGTGCAGCACACGATACCTCAATGTTCATGTGCAATCATTGACAGGATACATTCATTACCTACCTACAGTGCCATCTTAATCAAAATTATACTGTTCTTAATTCATGGGTGAAACTCTGCTTGAGATTGCACTATGAATGTCTCTAGAGACCCTGGGGAGGAAGGTAAACCCTGAAGAAGGACAATATTTCCCTCCTCAAGTGCAGAAACAGCCCAAGTGGTTTTACCAGGCACAGGTACCAGAAAATAAGGACTGCTCCTCATCAACAGGAGCAGTTAGGCTATATGCCTATATTTATATCTTATTTTACTCAAGCCTAATGTCCATTCCACATGAGGTTGTACAAACCTGTGAGCAAAAATGTCCACAACTGAAAGTTCCATGGGTATGGACACACACAATATGAAGAAGCCCTAATGAACCAACAGATAGTTTTGAGCCTGGATGAGGGTGAAATGTGTAGACAAGCTAATGGAGAATAGGTCCAACAACAGCTATTTGCCATAACCTCTAAATATAAGTTCTAGGAGGTAGTATTGGGGAAGGCCTCAGCCTCTATACTCTGTTTGTTGCTGGCTGCTAAGTGAAACAGGATGCTGGACTAGATGGCTCTAGCCTAACCTATCTCACCAGATTATTGGGATATGGCATTGAAACAGGAATGGAAAATTATTCACATCTCATTTTTCCTCATCCTGACAATTCCCATTGAAATGGGCAATAACCACTGGATGTGACGAGCTTTCTTAATATAGTGGAAAAGATTTTTGTGTCCCCCCCCCCAGCAATCCAATTTTTGCCCTGTTTTCCTCTACATGTATTTGCCACCTCTGCAAATGGTTTGCACCATTACCTGAAAGTATGTTCAGGATTTATCTGTCATTTGTCTTGGCATAAAGGCTCAGGGACAGGAGGTGTGAATGATACTCTGGGAAACATGCGTCTGTGGAGTCACATGATCTCCTGACCATATGGTGGTCACATACAGCATGGCAGCTTTATGCACTGATTAACAAAATAAGGGGACAGGGATTCTTATCTGGCAGAATCACTGTTTGACCCAAGACTAGTCGATATATACTGTGCTGCAAGATTTTGTTTGTATTTTGTGTGAGGTATGGAAAATCCTTAGTCACCTAAGCAAAGAAGTGTCCAAAAATCCAGACTAAAGTAAAAAAGAAATGATATACAGATTTTAAGATTTGATCAGCCATTTCTCAAAGTTCCCCATCAGATATATTCATAAATGCCCTTATCCCCCACAAAAAAAAAATAGTTGAAGTACAGTTTTAAATGTACCTCAGACCATCAAGAAGATCCCCCTTTTTTGGTTTCGTGTGTAATATGATACACCTGGAAACTGGGAAACTATTATCACAGCAAGAAAGAGTATGAGACTGCGGACTGCAAGCACTCACCCACGGTACAGAATGAACAGTACATCTCTCTGTGACCTACTATTCTGTGCTACATATTTGTGTGCAGCTGCTGGTGAGTTTTGAAATATCTGAACTTGCCAAAGGAAGAAGAACAAAAGCCTCTTGAACATCGTATTTTTACAATCCAAACAAAAGGCGAGACAGTGTTTATTTCTGTTCGAAATATTATCATGAGATATGGTTCTGGTTGGAATTCTGTGCCCCCCTCCCTTGCCCTGGTGTGTCCTAGTGGTACATTTAAATTGCAAGAAGGAAAAAAATCCCACAGATTTAACTGGGACACAGAAAATTCATGACGGCTGCAGGACAAAATAAAATGCATTCATAGAAGGGAGCTGAATAGTTGCGGGGAGGGGCAGGAGTTGAAAGTCAGCTGGGAGCACAATGAGCAATTTATTTATTTATTTCCCTTGCTGAGTGCTTGTCTAAAAAAAAATTCAGCTTTTGCAGTAAGTTAAAGTCCCAGGTGAGCTAGGCCTAGTTCCCTTTCTGTTACTATGACAACGAATTTTTACCGCAGTCCCAAAGTCCCTTCAGAACTCACACATTCATGCCTTGAATTAGAACTTTAAAGGAGAAAGATGTATATTTTTCTCCCAAGGTTTACCAACAAGAACAACAAGCCTATAAAAATAAAGCAATGACTCTCCCCCCGCTTTAAAAAAACCCAGTGTTAAATCTCCAATATAACTGTAGTTATGCCAACTTTCAAAAACTGTGGATGCTCATCACCACCAGACACAAAGGAAATACTTTGGCATCTGATTCATTTATGAGCATTCTTACATGAAACACAAAAAGCTACAGAATGTAAGAGGTAATAATATCATCCAAATGTTCCTTGAAAAGATTTCCTATACTCTTTCACTGCATTAAAAGATTTTGCATTAAAAAGAAAACAGTGGTGAAGAAAATAGAGAAAACCTGTCTGTTTGGCTTTTTTCCTAATGTGTTTCTCAAAAGGATAATTAAAACTTGCTTTATTCTTCCAGTTATTTCTCTATTAACTTTTCTTTATGTCTAATACAAAGCATTCAAACCTTTGCATGGACAGTACTGAAGCTTAACATTTATCACATGTTCATCTAGCACTTCCTCCAAGGAGTTCAGAGCAGCATACATGGTTTTCTCCTCCTCTACTGTATCTTCACAACAACTCTGCGAGGTAGGTTAGGCTGAGACATAGTCAGGGCTTTTTTTGTAGAAAAAGCCCAGCAGGAACTCATTAGCATAATAGCCCACACCCAAGAGCAGAAACTCATTAGCATATTAGGCCACACCCCTGATAGCACAGCTCATTAGCATATTAGGCCACACCCACATGTTACCAGAAGTGTGGTCATCCAGCCACACCCACCTTTTGCTTCTTATTCTGTTTACCTTGTTTGTTGTCAAAATCCAGGGCTTTTTTTGTAGCAGGAACTTCTTTGCATGTTAGGCCACACCCCCCTAATGTAACCAATCCTAATGAGTTTCTGCTGTTGGGTGTGGCCTATTATGCTAATGAGATCCTGCTGGGCGTGGCCAACTCAGGAGCCAGCCGGAACTCCGTTCCTGTGCGTTCCTGCCCAAAAATAGCCCTGGACATAGTGATTGCTTAAAGGTCTCGTAATGAGCTTCAGCGAGCATTTGAAGCTGGGTCGAACTATTAACCATTATAACCACACTGGCTCTCAATCTCTCTCAATATTTTAGTGCATGATATTCCTGTTTCTATTATTTCATTCTAGTTTGTTGGTGAAGTTCAACTGTGAGAGATTAATCAAATTATCCTTGTGGCAAGAGGATTCAAATTATCCTTGTGGCAATATTTCAGTGCATGATATTCCTGTTTCTATTATTTCATTCTAGTTTGTTGGTGAAGTTTAACTGTGAGAGATTAATCAAATTATCCTTGTGGCGAGAGGAACTTTATGAACAGGTATCTACTTAACTGGTTACACTGAAAACTGTACAGAGGATCATGTTGCTAAGGGTGAGGTGGTGAATGTGTACAGACAAATGTGGTACTTGCCAAGTATTCTATATTCATCCATGTTTCATACTAAGTGAGATTAATCAGCCAGTTGTGAGGAGTTGATCTGAAGTTTCAGAGTGCTCCAGTTCTCCAGAAGAAGGGGATTAAATTTCAGGGTGAGGAAGCAGAAGGAAGCCCCCTTCCCCAAAGGGCACATTTCCTATTCAAAAATTTATATCAGTCCACTTGGCCTGCATATTCTTCCGATTTCTTTAGATTTCTTTTTTCTGGGGGAAATAGGTAAGGATACAAATACAGATATCACACACACACAGTCGTGCACTGGAGATTCCTTAGAAGCAGATGCTTGGGGTCTTTATATAAAAATCAGAAATGGTTTTAGGCTCCACCCCCTGCTTCAACAAGCCATGCCTTTGAAAGCCTAGACTCCACCCACTGGGACCTCCAGTTGGCAGGCCATTGTATCCTGTCAGCTACTTTCAACAACATCTGTGTACCAAATCCAGCTAAAGTTAGTTTTAAACACATGGACCAAATCCAGCTAAAGCTAGTTTGTGACTAGAATGGATCTTCCATGTATTTTAAAACATTGGCTCCAGAGACTCTGCCCTTGTGGTAGAGCTGTAATTGAAACTTTACCT